TAACCACGAGAAAAATTACACATGCCCTAGCATTTCAATCCTCTTAAAAAGCTCTAAACTTGGTTATTTGATAACCAAAGCTATTATTCGCACTGGCCAAGGTATTTTCTAGTAACAATTTAAGTGTCCTAAAAGTCTTATTAACTCTTACAGGCCATTAGGGTACCAACAAGAGCATTAGTGCCTGAAACCTAATTACAGGGCATAAAATGGTCTTCGTGCTCTGTTAATGAGCCTGCTGAAGTCACCAATTTTGTATCATGGAGTACAGGGAGTTTCATTTCAAATGTTATTTGGACATTTTTTAGACTTTTACAGTGGCTACTCCATTTTTAGAAGGTGAAACTAGAAGACTTAAAACAGTAACATTAAAATTACAGAACTATAACCATAAAAAAGTTTTTTACTAATTGAAAAATGTTCTCTGATGCAATGGCTAGTTTAAGTTCAGTCATCATAGGTAAAAACCGTAAATATTAAAACAGGGGTATACAGTCTACCAAAGTCTGTACATATGTTAATCAGGATCAAAAAAGTTACTTCATTTTATTTATTTCCCCAAAAAAGTTATTTTATTTGTTCACAAATTAAAACAACCCCAAAACATCTTTGAAGAACCACAACTTAAATGTGTCTATATGAATAAAAAGAAAATACACAGATATAAGGACATACTATGAACTAAAACGAGCTTCATTCTCAAAAAAGAAAAACTTTGACAAACCATGCCAAATAACAGCTTCTTTTTCTTTTGGGATTTTTTTTTTTTTTTTTTTTTGAGATGGAGTTTTGCTCTTGTTGCCTAGGCTAGAGTGCAATGGCGTGTTCTCGGCTCACCACAACCTCCGCCTCCTGGGTTCAAGTGATTTGCTTGCCTCAGCCTCCCAAATAGCTGGGATTATAGGCATGTGTCACCACACCCAGCTAATTTTGTATTTTTAGTAGAGATGGGGTTTCTCTACGTGGGTCAGGCTGGTCTCGAACTTATGACCTCAGGTGATTCGCCTGCCTCGGCCTCTTTTTCTAAAGATAGTAGAAACTAATAGGATGGATATGAATTTTATTATTTATTTATTTATAGAAACGAAGTCTCACTATGTTGCTCAGGCTGGTCTCACACTCCTGCACTCAAGTGACCCTCCTGTCTCAGCTTCCCAAAGTGCTGGGATTACAGGTGTAAGCCACCATGCTGGCCAAGGATTTACTTTTAAAATGTCTAATAACAATAAAAACGTACAGGAAATTTAAAAAATCTCTATATACTCCTATATTACACACATCCCCAGAAAACTACACAATTAAAAAGAAAATTCCTGATAGCTGCCCTCCCCTAAGTGTTTTTAAATTTTTCTCGTTTATCTGACAAACAAGCCAAGAAGTATAGATGACAAATGTTTAAACAGTCATAAAATATAAAATCACTTATTCCTTTATAATATAAAGTTCAATTTATACACAGTAATTTATATTTAAAGTTACTGCATTAGATATTTTTGGAAAATGGACACCAGCCAACAATGAAAAGGGAAAACTAAAGAGGGAATGGTAGAATTTAAGTAAGTAGAATTAACCAAGCATTGAAAAGAAACCCGCAGGTGATAGCTATGCAGGAGGTTCAGAGAACAGTCTGTCCAAAGATGATCACTTAATAAATAGTATGATAAACTAAATGAATAATATTTACATAATAATACTGTAAATGCTACTTAGTTTTTAATTCTCAGATTCAACCATGAAGCAAAATAGGAAAAACAATTATACTTCACATAATGTAAACATTATAAATTTTGACACTATAGAATTGATAGTGGAGCTGAGAGAAGTTAGGTTGTAAGGGACAGAAAAGGATAAAAATATAGAAACTGAATGTTCTAAGTTCTACACTGGGCAGTTAAGAGTTATTGTTCAAAGTCAATGAGGCAATAAATCCAGCTCCAAATATACAACTTAGAGTTATTAGGATAACAGTAGAAATATGGTAACACAGTTGATAAATGTTTAAGAATTTAAGTTCCTTGTCTTCCAAAGTAATAATTTGAGTCAACAGGGAAAATGCATAATTTAAGAAATTTAAGCACATCATTTACAGAATAGAAGCAACCATTCAAAAGAACAAAAAACATCTGCGATAAGATATGAGAAAATGAGATGGGAGGTAGGAAGAAAAACTTTACTTTTCATGTTATATACCGTTTTTTACACTTCTGAGTTTTTATTTCCATGTATAAAATTAATTTTATAATTTTAAAAATGCCATCTAAAATCCTGTGTTTGTGATTTTAGATGGTAAATATGAAAGACATAAATACCAAAACATTTTAAAAGTTGCTTGATTTAGGATTAAATACTGTTGACTACAAATAATTTTTCAAAAATAAAAAACATTTATACTACAATCTCTTCTTCCTTTCAATTTGTGCCTACATCAATTTTTTTCCTGGGTCTCTGTAAAGTAAGAGAAAAGAAAGAAGAAAATTCAACAAAGGTATGCAGAACATATTAACAATAATGTGAAGGTAAAAGGAATGAGAAAAAAATGTGTTATTCTTAAAACTATCAAACTTGCCAGGTGCTGTGGCTCAAACCTGTAATCCCAACACTCTGGGAGGCTAAGGCAGGTAAATCCCTTGAGGCCAGGAGTCCAAGACCAGCCTGGTCAACACGGTGAAAACCCATCTCTTCTAAAGTACAAAAAATTAGCCAGGTGTGGTGGCAAACGCCTGTACTCCCAGCTAGTCAGGAGGCTGAGGCACAAGAATCACTCGAACCTAGGAGGCGGCAGTTGCAGTGAGCCGAGATCGTGCCACTGCACTTCAGCGTGGAAGGCAGAGAGAGGCTCTGTCTCAAAAAAAACCTACCAAACTTATTTCATAAAATCTAGATGTAAGAGAAGAGTACTTTAAGTATTAACTAATATGAACAATATACAAATATCCTTAAAATAAACAATTTTCATTTTCCCCATATACTTTACTCATTCTTTTAGGATTTCAAAAACATATTATGAATAAGAATTGTTATGTTTTTCATGATGAAAATAACACATGTGTTCACTTTTAATACAATGATAAATGTACTGGTTTTCTAAAACAATAACATCTTGTTTTAACTATTCAAGTTCAATAATTTCTTCTCAACCCAAATCAGCAACTGGCTTTAGTGTTTCTGCGTATCTCTTCATAAAAGCAAATGTGAAAGGAATTTAGAAAGATGTCCAAAGTGCAAAGTCATCTCCATTCTGAGTACACAACAGAAATAAAATGAATAGAGTTAAAACTTTTTATTCTAACACTTAGGAAACTCAAGGAGTCATGCTGGGCTTATGTGATCTAGTTTCAATACCTCTAGTTACAAATATATAAATTACTAGAATCAAGGATGAATTGCTTGGTGTAATAGTATAGATGGGCTATATATTGCTCAGTACAGTACTGAGCAATTCACACTTTAGAATCAGACAGAAAGGAGTTCAAGCTGTATACTATTTACATGTTTGCAAACGTGGGCAAGTCACTTACATTCTCTGAGCATCTTCTAAGTTAAGAACAATAATATCTATTATAACAGGCACCAGTGCTTGTTATAAGCTGGACAATTTAAAATGTTAAATCACATCTTCAATAGTACTGAACTACTACTCTCTAAATAATATTTTCATTTTCATTCAAGTGCTCAGCTTTTTCAGCTTAAAGGGGCATCCCTTAGTACAGTTTCATGACTTTAGTGTGGCAGATCACAAATGAATTAGGTGGATGATTTGTTTCGGCTGCCTGTGGCACTAATAGATTATCAATTCTCATTTGAGGAGCAGTTAAGGTGCTAAAAAATGTTTTTAACTAAATAAAATTTATTTACTATTCTCATATATATGTATATGAAAAGTATAAAAATAGACAAAATCAGGGTAAAATAATGAGATAAGAAATATATATGGTTTATAGACTTGAGGTTCCTATTTTAACTGTAGTTTTCACATTTTACTTTTGACCCTCAGGTTACATGCACTTCACCCTACCAGACCTCTCCCTTTCTCAATTATGTGCAAGAATGACAACACAGAAATCTCTCCTGCTGTTTCAAGTGCAAGAAAAGGTACATAAACTAAGATTAATACATTGTTAATGAGGTTCGGTCATCTTAGAAATGGTAATATTTCCAGTTTTAGAATTGAAGTTTACAAGGAAAAAGGATCCTGAGCAAGAATAAAACAGGAAAGAAAAATGGAGGAAAAATTGGTCAAAGAATAATAATAGTTGTCATATATTCGACACTGGTATGTGAAAGCCAGAAGCTTTAAATAAATCATTTCTTATATTGCCAACAACTTTACAAGTAGGTATAATCATCTCCATTTAGAGATGAGCAACTGAAATTCAGGAATGATCTACGCAAAGTCACTCATCCAGGAAGTAGCACAGCCAGAACTTAAACTGAAGTCTGTCTGACTCCAAACAAAATTAAATCATACCAAGCTTTTCCAGAACTTAAAATTTCTAGCACATCAAAATTTCATTAGAGGGCAGTTACTTCTTCCTTCATTTGTACAAGAAGAGACAAAAACTAGGTGCAGAAATAGCTTTTGCTGTCGATGACACTCCTTCCTTAGTTTTTTCTTGTTAGTCATATGAACAAAAGAGATTTCAGGGTAAAAATGCCAGTATTGTATGCTTTTATTCCTAGTCAAAGGATGCTTTCAAAACAATTCCCAATAGCAGGTGGGCCATCAAAACCATGGAAGGAAAGAAGAAAGGAGGGAAGGAAGGAGTGAAAGGGAGAGGAGGAGAGTGAAAGAGAGGTGACAGGAGAGGGAAGAAAAAGGGAATAGAGGGAAACCAGTAGAATGTACTTTCTTCATTTAAAATATAATGTGTCTATCTACCTCTTTTCCTCTCTTGTTTTTAAAAAGTACATTTAACTCCCCTATGTGAACTTCTTTTAAGTTCTAAGAATTCCAATGACACACTAATTTGCTTTCACTTTCTGGAAAGTAACAGTCTTACCATGAAACTTTGAGGCTTCAGGATCATTCACATTGATAGCAATTAATTTCCAATCTGTTTCACCTTCATCAATAAGAGCCAAAATTCCGAGAATCTTCACATGAATAACTTCTCCACAAGAAAGAATCTTTAAAGAGAACAGAAATTCACTATAGGCTTTGGAGAGTTTACTCACATATCACAAAATCCATATAAAAGATGAAAAGAACTACAGACTGAAATGTAATAAAGCCTCAATAATTAAAAATAACATGAAAATAGCCAAAGTCTGCCTTGCAATGAATGTCCCTTTAGAGTTAACTTTCTCAAAATTTCCACTTTCACCAATGATTGAATTACTTTACTGATAAACAAATAACTTGCCCTCCCATTGCAAATAGCTAAAAAACTGGACAGAATATATGAAATCACTCATTTCAGACATTAAACAACAGGCAGTACAGGACTGTGACCCCAGAGAGAAGTAAACAAACAAGAAGAGACATCTGATTGCCCTGGCTTTCTGCTCAATAGACGTTCCAAACCACGGTAGAGAGAAAGGAACCCTGTAAGAGGACAGGGATCTCACTGAGGTTAAAGAACAGAGTTTAAAAAAAAAATGGAGAGGATGAGGCAGCTGGAATTTGTAGGGCATGGTACTAGAGATAAGAAATAACTACAGCAATATACATTGGGGTTCCCTTGAGACACAGGTTAAACACTAACCTGTGCATGCACGGGATGAGACTCTATAAGTCAAGAGAAGAATAACTGCCAGAGATCTATAAAATGAGTTCCAACCACCCAGGAAAACCTCATTCAGCACAAGGGGCATTCATTAGTGAACCTATAACAGGCATGCCTTAATGGTAGGACTAAACTGGCTCTCAAATAAAGGTTACTCTAGACCTGTGCTAACAAAGTTTTAAAAGTGCCTGGATACAACCAAACTGACTCACAATTAACTACCTGTAAAAACAAATATTCTTTAAAGGAAGACAACAACATCCAGGCACTCAACATAACACAACATCCAAAATTCTGTCAATACACAAGAAAATGTAAGCTCTACATGGGGAAAAAGATTAAAAATCATTCAACAGAAACATTTCCAGAACTGTTAGATGATTTAACAGATAGGAACCTCAAAACAACTACTGTAAATATGCTCAAAGATTTAAAGAAAAGCATGACAATATGGAAGGGAGAAATAGAAAACATAAAAAGAACCAAATGGAACTTTAAAAGCTAAGACATACATGATCTGAAATGAAAAATTCTCTCAATAAGCTTAACAACAAAATAGATATCGCCAAAGAGAAAATTAGTGAACCTGAAGACACTGTAACAGAAACTTTCCAAAGTGCAGCAGGGAAACAAAAAGGATAAGAAAAAATTAACAATCCCAGTGTCCTCTCGGACAGCATCCAGCACTCTATCTCATGTATAAATGGAATTCCAGAATGGGAAAGAGGAAGCAGAAAAATACTTGAATAAATAACAACCAAAAATTTTCCAAATTTGATGAAAAGTATAAACCCACAGATTGAGAAAGCACGCATACACACACACACACACACACACACACACACACACACACACGCGCACGCGCACGCCCATCAGAATAAACAAAAAAAAATCCAAAGTGAAGCACATCATAATCAAAGTGCTGAAAACCAGTGACAATGACAGAGAATAAATCTTAAAAGGAGATAGAGGGGAAAAAAGATTACATAAAGGTATGTTGATAAGAATGACAGCCAATTTCTCTTTAGAGGCAATGTAAGCCAGAAGACAAAAAATGAAATTTTTAAAATTCTTAAAAACACTACCAACCTAGAATGCTGGGAATCAGAAAGACTTTGCAAAGGGGAAAGGGGGACCCTTCTGGGATGATGGAAATGCTTCATATTTTAATTGAAGGAGGAGGTTATGTGTGTGTATACATAGGTCAAAACTCACTATATACTTAAAATGAGTACACTCTATTGTAATATATGTTGTATATATACACATAATGACTTAAAGTTTATTTTAATGGTTAAAAACAAAATAGAAGGTTGCTTCCAAGATGTCTGAATAAGAACAGCTCTGGTCTACAGTTCCCAGCAAGATCAACACAGAAGACAGGTGATTTCTGCATTTCCAACCGAGGTACCTGGTTCTTCTCACTGGGACCGGTTGGACAGTGGGTGCAGCCCACGGAGGGTAAGCCGAAGAAGAGCAGGATGTCGCCCTACCTGGGAAGCACCAGGGGTCGGGGGATTTCCCTTTCCCAGCCAAGGGAAGCCGTGAGTGACTGTACCTGGAGGAATGGTGCACTCCTGCCCAAATACTGTGCTTTTTCCACAGTCTTCACAATCAACAGACCAGGAGATCCCCTCCCATGCCTGGCTTGGTGGGTCCCACGCACATGGAGCCTTGCTTGCTGCTAGCGCAGCAGTCTGAGATAGACCTGGGACGCCGGAGCTTGGTGTGGGGAGAGGTGTCCACCATTACTGAGGCTTGAATAGGCGGTTCTATGCTCACAGTGTAAACAAAGCCACAGGGAAGCTCGAACTGGGCGGAGCCCACCGCAGCTCAGCAAGGCCTACTCCCTCTCTAGATGCCACCTCTCGGGGCAGAGCATATCTGAACAAAAGGGAGCAGCCAGCTTCTCCAGACTTAAACGTCCCTGCCTGACAGCTCTGAAGAGAGCAGTAGTTCTCCCAGCATGGCGTTCAAGCTCTGATAACAGACAGACTGCCTCCTCAAGTGGGTCCCTGACCCCTGTGTAGCCTGACTGCAAGATGCCTCCCAGTAGAGGCTGACAGACACCTCATATAGGCAGGTGCCCCTCTGGGACAAAGCTTCAGGCAGCAATATTTGCTGTTCTGCAGCCTCTACTGGTGAAACCCAGGCAAACAGGGTCTGGAGTGGACATCCAGCAAACTCCAGCAGACCTGCAGCTGAGGGGCCTGTTAGAAGGAAAACTAACAAACAGAAAGGAAATAGCACCAACATCAGCAAAAAAGTCATTCATGCCAAAATCCCATCCGCAGGTCACCAACATCAAAGACCAAAGGTAGATAAAACCACAAAGATGGGGAGAAACCAGAGCAGAAAGGCTGAAAATTCCAAAAACCAGAACGCCCCTTCTCCTCCAAAGGATCACAGCTCCTCGCCAGCAATGGAACAAAGCTGGATGGAGAATGAGTTTGACAAGTTGACAGAAGTAGGCTTCAGAAGGTCAATAATAACAAACTTCTCCGAGCTAAAGAAGTATGTTCTAACCCTTCGCAAGGAAGCTAAAAACCTTGAAAAAAAGTTAGACAAATGGCTAACTAGAATAACCAGTGTAGAGAAGAGCTTAAATGACCTGATGGAGCTGAAAACCACAGTACAAGAATTTTGTGAAGCATACATAAGCATCAATAGCCAATTCGATCAAGCAGAATAAAGGATATCAGTGATTGAAGATCAAATAATGAAATAAAGAGAGAAGACAAGATTAGAGGAAAAAAGAGTGAAAAGAAATGAACAAAGCCTCCAAGAAATATGAGACTACGTGAAAAGACCACCATGTTTGATTGGTGTACCTGAAAGTGACGAGGAGAATGGTACCAAATTAGAAAACACTCTTCAGGATATTATCCAGGAAAACTTCCCCAACCTAGCAAGGGAGGCCAACATTCAAATTCAGGAAATACAGAGAACACCACAAAGATAATCCTCAAGAAGAGCAACCCCGACATATATAATTGTCAGATTCACCAAGGTTAAAATGAAGGAAAAAATGTTAAGAGCAGCCAGAGAGAAAGGTCAGGTTACACACAAAGGGAAGCCCATCAGACTAACAGCGGATCTCTCGGCAGAAACCCTACAAGCCAGAAGAGAGTGGGAGCCAATATTCAACATTCTTAAAAGAATTTTCAACCCATAATTTCATATCCAGCCAAACTAAGTCTCATAAGTGAAGGAGAAATAAAATCCTTTACAGACAAGCAAATGCTGAGAGATTTTGTCACCACCAGGCCAGCCCTACAAGAGCTCCTGAAGGAAGCACTAAACATGGATATAAACAACCAGTACCAGCCACTCCAAAAACATGCCAAATTGTAAAGACCACTGATGCCCGGAAGAAACTGCATCAATTAATGGGCAAAATAACCAGCTAGCATCATAAAGACAGGATCAAATTCACACATAACAATATTAACCTTAAATGTAAATGGGCTAAATGCCCCAATGAAAAGACAGAGTGGCAAACTGGATAAAGAGTCAAGACCCATCAGTGTGCTGTATTCAGGAGACCCATCTCATGTGCAAAGATACACATAGACTCAAAATAAAGGGATGGAGGAAGATCTACCAAGCAAATGGAAAGCAAAAAGAAGCAGGAGTTGCAATCCTGGTCTCTGATAAAACAGACTTTAACCAGAACTCATGTTCTAACTCACAAGTGGGAGTTGAACAATGAGAACACATGATACATGGAGGGGAACATCATACACCGAGGCCTGTTGGGGCTTGGGGGCTAGAGGAGGGATAGCATTAGGCGAAATATCTGATGTAGGTCACGGGTTGATGGGTGCAGCAAACCACCATGGCACACACATACCTATGTAACAAAACTGCATGTTCTGCACATGTAACCCAGAACTTCAAGTATAATAAAAAATAAAAAATAAAAAATAAATAAACGGAAAAAACTCAATTGAAATGGAAGAAACCATGAACAGGCAATTCACAGAAGAAATGAAAACAGTCTTTAAGGGTATAAAAAGATGCTCAAGCTCATTCATGATATAACTACCTTGTGGTTTAAATTAATATCCCTGCTTAGTGTTTGCAGAATTCTCACACAATAGGTAGTTGCCTGTCATTTTGATCTTCTCCTCCATATTTTGCTTTCTCTGTTCTGGAGGAAATTTCTCTGGCTGCCAGACCTAAATCTACAAAGGGGATCATTTTTCTTATTCTATCCAGAGGAATCAGCAGTTGAAGCAAAACTTTTAATTTCATTCCACTGAACAAGCCTGGAAATTATGGACATAAGACAGCCTAGGCAAGTGTGGCTAGAAGTGCATTATTTTATTACCAAGAAAATTTAAAGATAAATGAGAATCAAAGATGACCAAGAGGCAGAATACAAGGAATGAGTAGATG